TGATGTAAAAAGAGTTGATACCAAGAACAACTTGGCGGATATATGTACAAAGGGATTGGTTAGGGTATTATTTGAAAGTTTTCTGATTAGGTTAGGAATGGAACCGTAGTGGAAGTGTTGGAAATTACATTATTCCTTTCCTATCCTGTAATGGGGCTGTGTTGGTCATGTGACACAGCTACATAACCAAGTATATATGCTATTGTATTCTAACATCTTCTAGAGATTTCCTTGGCATGAGGCAGTGCTCATGTAATAATAAAGGAATATATAAAGGGCAAGTTCAGCCCTGTTCTTAGAAAGAGCGTGCAAGCTTGGATTAATCTTTAAGTCTTCAGATTTTATTGTGGTTATCATTGTTACTTCGTTATCACAACAGTTAGTATAATAGATACAAATATTTTCACCATGAGCAATCATACCAGTACCAGTATTGGCGGTCCATCCACAGATCGCCGTATCAATCAATTACCAGCACAAAATGATAACCTACCGGTATGGCGATCCCACCAACCCACAAAAGTATCGTACTCGTACTGTATTGAACTCGATGGCGCAGCCATGGCATTCGGCGCCCCCCACGTAAGCAGGCAAGCCGAGGCGGCAGCAGCACCGCCTTGACGGCTCACCCATCCAAGACCCTACCAGTATCATGTGAACATTCAATAGCACACAAATTAATCCAATACACCCCCAGGTTCCAAGCACTTGCACAGCAGAGTAGCCAGGGAAAGGCCCAATACGAGGGCTTACGGTACTTCACTTAGGATACCGGTGTGGTAACCATAAGGTCGTTTCGAGAGGAAATAGTTCCCGCTGATTGCACTCGTACCGCAGAGAACTTATCCGATCAGGTTTTGTTAAGTCCCGGGAAACAAACAAATGAGTAAACAATGAAGCTTATATACCGGCATATTCACGGACGGGGGTTTGGGCGGGAGTGTATGAGTTGCGGAACGGGGTGGACTGGAAGGTTGAGTTTCGTTTTTGTTTTTTAATCACATTTATATTACATGGTACCGTGCCCGGGATGCTGCGGTTCGCCTTGGCCCCTGGCTACCGGAGATTTGCTGGGTGCGGGAAACTGTCAGGCACATACTACCATATCATATCATAGCATAGGGGAAGATAACTTTGTGTGATAGGCAAGGGCATTGTGGACTGTTAAAAGCCCCTTCGAAAAGAAAAGCTGTTAACTTATCCCTTGTCCCGTCCAAAACGGTCAGATCCGTTGTCTGCTGTAGACAGGCACTCTACTTGAGTAGGTCCGTCCCGGGATGATTTAAACTCCGCAATTGGTGGAGAATATCCAGACACAACAAGAGTGCTCTTGCTTGAATGCTGAACAGAAGTGAGAATCCGGTTTTCAGACCAAGGTAAGGTAACCGTTTGCTAAATCCAGCCCCGTCGACGCATTTCGACTCATTTCAGATGGTCCGAGGGATAACACTATTCAAACACATTAACAATTGGTGCGCAGGAGGTGAGGTACCGCATGGTGGATGGTAGTGGTGCAGGATGGTTAGATATCGTGAGGCTGCCGTTTCAACCATTGATACTCCCCCCCCCCCCCGGTCAGGAATCCTGTTTTCCCTTCACCCCCCCCCCTCTCTCTACTCTCATTTGATGCATCACCAGACCCGCTCCAGATTACATGGTATTATTATTATTATTAACTCTCCCCCCGATAAGATACTAGGAGTGCAAGGGATTTTGAAAGTAGAATACAATAGTTCGAGTCAAATCAAAGGCGCAATCTCCCAAGATGGAGCACAGCATAGCCCCGAAGGGCAATGACATAAACTCGGTATGATGGTAAATACGATAAACCTTCGGATCCATAAGTAAGACATTTATCGGAACCGTCCACTTTGAATGTTTGGTCAACGGGGCATTCTATCCTCCCTTTTTTTTTGTTCCGGCGGGCACCATAATCAAGTAGTTTCTGCAAAAAAAACTAGATAATACGCACTAATGTTTTAGCTGCACAGTCTTTTTTTCTTTCTTTTTTTTCGAGCCCACATGGCAGTTCAAGTATATCCACGGGTTCGTTGCGGTAGCCGTTTTCAATAATGGGTACGATATCATGCTCAATATATCACTCGTAAGTTACGAAGCAGTAGGAAATTCTCCTTCCCAAGAGTCGTCTTGCGGATTCCTCTTTTTCCCCCACCCAATTTCTCCAGAGGAAGGGGAAATACTGCAGGGGGCGTTCGCTGTCCTAACCAATCTCTGAACTACTTGTGTGCCTTTCTAACTTTACTTGCTAGAGCGTATTTACTCAAAGTGTGTGACTTTTTTCCCCGCAAGCCCGGCACCAATACCCCCTACTACCGCTAGTCTCACTTGTATATCGAGTAACAGGAACGATGGACTTAAAGTCTGGAGTAACCCTCCAGGGTGCTAGAAGCTATATTCAAAAGGACGCTCTCCAGTACTAGCACGGCAAGCGGATATCTAAGCAGAATCTCTGGTAGAGCAGCGGGTACGGGATGGTGAGGAGAATCCTCACCCTGTGTATGATACCCTCTGTGGAGTGGTTGAAGAGAGATTGAGAGAGAAAAAGACACGTCATGGAAATTGTGACAGTATCATACTGATAACGGACAAGTATGATACTGCGCACTATTAGGATACGCAGCATCAGGCGGTGAGCCCAGTCACATCCCTTCCAGCTGCACGAATAGTGTCAAGCACCCATCACAAATCCTCACTCGGTTCACCAAGAAATTTTTCAGGGACACAATTTCCAAACTTAGATTTTGGGTCACTCACGCCAGTGAGGGTCCTTGTAGACTATGTGGCGATTTGCGATACCCAGTAGCTGAAGTAATGATGGCGAATAAACATAACAAGATCCGTAAAGACTTATTCAGAAAACATGATTGTGGGGAAACGGACCAGCTATTTGTGAAGATCTATGATATGATGGACTAACCCCCCCCGTCCCTCAAACATGTTCCACATATAGTACAGAACACCGTTACGTCGAGCTACATGAAGTATCGAACCAGAGAGATCGGGGAAACACGAAGGTCGGAAGTTACAATGTCACCCACCAGTCTTGAACATTGCCCGGGTTGAAAAGGAAACAAAGGACATTGGCAAAGTACTAGTACCCGACCCTGCGAAAATATATATATACACCCTGATCAATTGTGGCAAATTTTGAAATATCGCATCTTGCATGGCACCTTGGTGATTATGATTATCTGGATGCGTAGAAGTTGCTGTCTCCTTGCGTGTACTGTATAGTACAGCTACGCATGTAGGCGGTGGACGAGGGTTACGGAGCACAGCGGCGGGAGTTCAATTCATCATATCATGATAGGATGTTTTCCAGAAACGAAAATTAACGACTCGTGTAATCTCGGGGGCGATATGTAACCTGATGATGCCTTCCCGCTCCTCTCTCCACTCCGAATCTCACACAAGTTCCACGATCTCTTCGGGATGCCTGTGTGGGTGCGCTGGAAGAGATTATGATATTGAGGGCTACGGCAAGGATCACGTACAGTGCATACACCTGTACTAGTACATCTATCTACTCCTACTTGTGCCCATGGTATCAGTGTGCTTTCTGTGTGCCCAGGCTGGAGGAATCTAGGGCTGGGCGCTGGTTTCCCTGAGAATTAAGAGTATTCGGCTGGCCGGACGTTGGTTATCATGCTACTCGTAGCTTGCCAAACTAGGATAGGAATGGGCATACTTGCTATGCGCTCGGTCGTCGAGAATTTCTCGAAGACCATTACGAATTCTTTCCACACCATCGCCAATTTCCTCCACTTGTTCCGCAACTAAGTGTCAAGCATGCGCAGAGCGCCAGCTCCTTGTTGAGTATTAATAGCGGAGATATTCGGAATCGAGGATATCCGAAATGCGGTATGGTGGAGATGGGTGCCGCCGGGAGGGAAATCCAGCTCAGCCATAGAGTTGTAAGTAATCGCGGTGTTGTTGGTCGAGTGAAGAGAGCTGCGAATGTTCAGGAAATGTGGAATACGGTAGCTGATAAGTTCTTGTGGTCCTATAGTTAGAGCTGGTTAGAGTTGGCTACCGTGTGATACAGATAAAGGCTTTGTCGCCCTGGCATCAGAGGCCATCATGCAGAATACAGCAAGGCTACTGGTGCGAAGGGCATGGATAGAGCGGGATGAACCCAGCCTCAAAAATCCAATCCCTTGCCAGTCTTTAGAGAAGGGTTCGTGGCAAGTACTATTAAACCTCTGGTATCATACATACGGCACTCAGGATCTTATCCGAGGCACACCATATACC